TACTGTTCACTTGACTCAATTATCTATCACTTCAATATCTATCTATATATCTCTTCAATCAATCTCTTCGATATATCTCTTCAATCTATCTATCTCTTCAATCAATGATCCCACAGGCTTATATACTAAAAAAGGGGGGTGTCCCGAACGCACTAGGAAATTCATGATCATTTGAGAAACTCATCACGTGTTACCAGTGTCACGTGACTTCCGCTGTCGTAACAATATATTAGATTATAAATGTTATGTATGAGATAGAGAGTAAAGTTTGAAATTAATAATTTATGTATGAATTTCTGGTTTTCAAATCCTGGTTGTCCTACTTTTATGTTTAATCTATCACAGTTTAAATAAAGAAAGAAACTTGATGACATTTAAAAACTTCAATGTCATAATGAACATGAGAAAAATGAAATCACTGTTTTACTCTCCAATTGGAGGGTAAAGTAGCAATAAATCTTAATGAATTAAATTTTTTTACACTTGCTTCTTCTTACCAGTTGAAACTATCCATAACACAGTTCAAACAAATCAGTATTCAATATAGCACTTCAGTTTGCTTTCCAAAAAACTTAACTTTAATCAGAGTAAATAAATACATACATGCTTGATTTCATGTTGTCAGCAAAATACAAAATTTTTACATAATAAATATTTAGCTCAGAAATAAACTACCCAATAAAAAAAGTAAACTTTGTTTTATTTCATTCTAAATGAGCAAATAGTCATAATCATTGCAGTCTTTACTAAGCATATTGTGGTAATACACTTTTCTTGTTGGCGAGTTCTTTTTAATTATCAGGTAAAAATTACTAAAATTCCAGTCCACATAAACTAGAAAATATGAGTTTATTTTTTCCTTTAACGTTTTCTACAAATTAAAACTTGTACTATCACAAATTTCTGTGGGCCTATATACTAAATGTATAATGTTAAATGACACAAAACAAATCATTTTACTTGTTCAAAGTAACTGTGAATGCTGACACACTTACTGATTCACTCTCTTATCTTGAAATACATAGGATCTATTTTTGAATATGCTAGAACACTTTGTATCACATCCTTGTAGTTCTCTAGAAGTTCCAGGCCTTAATATAATTTTCCAAACTTAACATTATAATCAACAACCTGCTGCTACCTCTAGCTAACAAACCAATTATATATTAAAAATATAAAACTTATCACATCTTAGTATTCCAATCCAACTTCTCTGTTTTCCTGAAAAGAGTGCTATTGTATGTCATTTTGTATGTATTGTTAACAATATAAAAACTGATTCATATATGAAACTCATGCACACATGTATTTATCTCAACGTCAGCTATTAATCAATGCATTCTTGCAGTACATGGTGTTACCATGCAGCAGCTAGCTTGATTTCCATGGCAACCAACAATAAGCATCAGTCACACTTTTTTCACTTGACGAAGCATGCTAAAAAGCCTCCAAGAGCTAACTGGAGTTAGTTTATTCAAACTCAAATGTTATCACAAAAATAAAAACAATGATGGTTAGTTACCACTGCTGCTGCAATAGCTTTAACTGTCCAAAAGTACCCAGGATTTGAACACTCAACAAATGGACATGATCTCACAGCTGGCACGATAATCCATTGGCCTCTCCAATCAGCTGACTTTGGTAGTGTTATATAAGGTTGGACAATGCATAATCACCTATTCAATTTTTTAAAGTAATGCATGTTCCACTCAGATAGCTGACTCTCTTTCTATCTTTCATACAAATAGTAATGGTAATGTTTGACAAATACTATAACTGCATGTACCTCCTCCTTTTTTTGGGCAGTATTAACATTCAAGAACAATCAGCATATGAATTGGTTATTCATTTAAATGCTTCATAAGATCCTGTACCTGTGCACCAATCTGCTTTATTTCCATTATAACAGGCATGTGTTTTCAGGATGAATGGATATGCCAGCACTGGAATGAATCTTCAAATTCTTGTACATATCCTGTCATGTGACCTTTTTGTTCCATACTGTATATATATATCTGCATCAGAAACGTTGTACATTTGCTGTTATGTTAAACTTATATTAAAGTTTTTCTTCATTACCCATTCAAACTGTCTTCAAGCATTATTAGTCTCAAAGTGGGTTCTTCCTCATCAAAAAAGTATGGGATGTTTTTTTTTATTATGTTTGGTGAATCTGGTTTCAAATTTTCTTCCTGTTTCTCTGATGTAGAATTCTGGACATTTATTGCACATTATCTTATAAATTGATAATAAAATCATGTGCTGAAAACTAACAATGAAACAATTCCTGATATAATAACTGTCAGACTCGTGAACATTCAAAGTGACTTCGTTAAATATGCAAAACATCTTCCACTGCTCAATGTGTTGCATTACACACTGGCTTGAGAATATTGAAGGTTGGGAAAGGTTCTGTTTATATCATCCATTCTTATTTCACATGTGTGAGGTTATTGTGTATGGAGATGATAATTTTGAAATGTTTAATGACAATTGGGCTGTTGAAGATAAGAATAATGCTATGGCTTAGCTAAAAATATTGGAATACTTTGAATTAAATTTTTTATTTAACAGCTTTACAATGTTCCCTTGAAAGAAGTTTCTGTAAATTTGCAAGGTCCAAGTCAAGACTGTTTCTGGTGTTTCCCTAATAGAACATTGTTGTAAAGAACTGAGAGAGAATATAAATGATTATTCACATCACATCTTCAAGCACAGCAATTATATTGCAATCAAATCTAATATTAATGTTAGCATGCCACAAATTAGTCAGTAATGAACCCAATGTGCAAATGCAGAATATAGTTCCGTGGAGGATTACTTTAAGAAAACAGTAACCATTCCTTTTCTGTAATCTTTCCTCCAGATTTGATGCACATTTAAAGCAATCAGCATCAATTCAGAAACTCGTGTCATCAAAACTCGTACAAGAGTTTTCTATCTCTGATACCAAACAGGCTATAGATTTTTACAGGGAAGATTTGCCAAATCCTGCCATTTTTGATGAAGAAATTCATCAACAGAAGACAAGATGTCTTTCTGTACCTCTCCAGGACAGGCCCCAGATAATGGATGAATGCTTAAGAGTGTGCTTCAGTGTACCAAATATCTTTATGTTACTGAAATTTTTTGTCACACTGCCACTAAGTTCATGTGAACATTTTCAGCTTTTGCTCTCCACTGTTTGAATAATTATTTGAGGTGTACACAAACTGAAGAAAGAGTGAGCGCTTTTGCTTTAATACATAATAATTAGGACACTGCATCAACTGAAACTGTGTGCAAGTTAATTATGGAAAAGCCCTCCAGAAGAATGGAGCATGCTACCATGTTATTTCAGTAGTGCATATATGATAGCCAATGGTTGAAATAGCTAATATACTATTGTTTTACAGACTTGTTTAAATTATTAATATATCTTAACAATTGATAAATACTCTGCATGTAGATAGTACAGTACTTTGCTATAATAGAACATACATATTTATGCTAATTTAAGTCTATCTCCCCATGCAATGTTACAACAGAATGATGATTTGTTGACTTTTCATTGGATGTTTGTGCATTTTATGTGAACAGCCAAAGAATTGTTTAAGCTATATTTCATGCAAAATTGCTTCTCATAGCACACATTTTTTACAAATTCTCTGTAGGGACGTGCCCAATACTTTCATAGCATTAGCATGCTTTGCATGCTGATTGTGCCTTGCACAATATATGTTGGCTTTTGATCTCAGAAATTAGAATCCCTCCTATAAATGTTTTGTGTACAGCCTTGATAACAACCTTTTCTTATCTACAGTATATAAATTACATTTTTTGTTCTAACTATATGGTAGTATTTGCACTATCTAATTAGCAATTCAGTATATCTATCATTTGTTTTAAGCAGACTAGATTTAGAAAGATTTTTCTCTCATCACTATGACTGTCAAACTTCATGTTAATGGAACACGAATTGCAGACTGTTCTTTAATTTTCCAAATTTCATTGCATGAAACCAGTTTTGGGAAATTTCACCCCTCTTTAGTAGCCCTAACAAGGATAGTACAAAAATAAAGGTCAAGCATCTTGTAGTTGTGAAATGCATTAGGAAAGTATTCTTCTAATACTTATATGAACTAAGTTATTTATGAGGAATAGTGGACACTTCAAACACTACATATATAAAGACTTTTTTATGGGCACATATGCCTCTGCATTTGGATATATTATTTTCACTTTTTCTCATATAGTACTGACCAATGTTGTGAAGAATATTTTGCAGTGACCGATCAAGTTTTGATATGCATTTCCTGGAATTAATAATTTATTTGTTTATGCTTTTCTAAAAAGGTTCTCAAGTTTATGAATACTATCATTTCCCTGGCAACAATCATTTATTGTATTAATTTTTTTTAAAATGCTATTATTTGGTAACATTATAGATTATTTTACATTGCTGAAAATATGTATTAGTATTATATTTCCATATTTGTTTATATAATGCAAATATAGAATTCCAACATATTAATCTACCACTACATCTTCTAAATGCACAGATACTAACCATACTTAATCCATAACAAGAGATACATAACGGTAATCATTTGTGAATAAACATCTTGTTTTTAAGTTGAACATGTCACTCCTATACTTGCTATTATTGTAAAAGCAAGAATAATAAACAATTTAAAAATAAAAACTACAACAATAAAACAGTAAGTAAATGCTTTTATGTCAGTTTGATATTAATTTTTTAAATGTTTCTATTTGTAATTTCTTTTTTTTATGAAATTTTACTGAGACATTTGCCTTAGTATAATTATGACTATGAAAATAGTAATTAATGCAAAAGGAAATTTTTAATGATATTTAGTTATATTTCAATGGTGTATTTGCATATATTTTCTGAGAAAGACAAAAATAAAGGTAAGAAAATAACACTGTAAGGTTTTATTGTTACTGATCCAAGATTCTACACTATGCTCTGCTACACAAGATCAGACAATATATTCAGTTTTTAATTTTATCCATATGTCAATGGCTATAGGGTGATATATATATTCATGTTTTTATGTTTTTGGCTGAACATGGATTAATCTCTTGCAAAAAATATCTAAATTAAACCTGTTGCTTTGTTCCATTTAATTTCTATTTAGGAAATCTATTCCAAGCTATCATGTTCCATTATATTTTAGTTTCTTCAATAGTTATTACCTATGTTATGATTTTCATTTGTATAGTAACATTGAACTACCTAATAATCTCATTGTGGTTTTTTAAACATTTTTTTACATTTGTTATTTCAAGATTAATTTATGAGAAACTTTTTTTGTTCACTCTTCTCACTAGTTTACATGACTATGGCTCGAAAAATTTGGAAATATTTTTTGCAATCTATGAAGAAGAATTTCCCAGATGAACTAAATGATAATGCCAGTCAAGTAGTTAATATTGTGAAGCAAAAATCAAGTAGTGACATTACAATAGGACTTGACCTCAAGAAAGACATATCAAGTAAAATCTTAAGACAGAATGTAAGAGGTGGTAAATCCAAAAAGAAACGAAAAAAACGACAACCAGGAATAAAGGCCATTGAAGTCTTGGCTAAAGCTGCTGAAAAGGCACTTCAGGTATAGCCATTCTTTAATAGGTTTCAGAAAGCTTTTGATCATCATAATAACCAGCACTGCATCACTTAATAACTCATGGTTTTGTAAGAACTTCCATCTTTGATTAAAGTTTACACAGATTCCATACTAACCAGCTCTATGTCTCTCACAGCATTAAAATAAATAAACTTGGTGTTTCTTTTATAATTTCCAACTTTTAAGATAGCTCAAAATCTTTTTATGTGAACTACGTCTTTATTGTAGTATGTTGATAAATTCCAGGCTTTAAGAAATCCAGTGTGTCACTTAATGTCTTTATTAAACATCTTCGTCTGTTCTATTTGTAATGTTTAGTCTTTAAGAGTTGAGATAAACCTTCTTACAAGTCAACAGTGTTGGACTTAATGTCTGTAGTATAACCTTCAGTTTTAATGCTAATGAACAGTATGTTATTAATATATTTAATATAATCCCTAATCACTGTCACATTATAGGTCTTATGTCCTTAAAAAGTATCTGAATGTCTTTATTCTATATTTATGGATGTCATCAATATTCTTTTCATGATTTCCAACTTTTAAAAGCGTTTGTGTTAATAAATAGTTCTGTGTGTATATAAGGATATGGAATGGCTAGTGCTGTCATTTCCAGTCTCATTGATATTATCAAAGCATCTACTTCATTTTTCATCATTACATTTACCATACATACATTATTTTTTCCTATATAATCTTAATTTAGATAATTGATATATTGAGTATTTATATGTATTGTATGCAAATATTATCTCTTGTAACCACTTTATAATTCAAACATTCATTATATCTTGATTCAAGTAATTTTGTTTATAAACTTTGGCACAGGTTAGCTAGATGTGTATGTGAACAGGATATATTCAGTTGTGAACTATACTTAAGCCTTCATAAGTGGCTAGTACACTAGATAAGTTAATTATTTTTTTTCTGTCTTACTGGAGATAAAGGCTCTTTGTAGTTTTTTGTAACTTATGATCTTCACATATTTGTGAATGTGGGATGTTTTGGCAAAATATAAACTTGAATATAATCCCAAGCAAAGTGAGTTCTTGGTCAAAATTCATCCTGTCATTGTCAAGGACTTTATCAGAAGTCATTCTAACAGAATTGACTGAATGGTTGTTCATTGCAACTATTTGACCCTCGATTTTTGTTATTACAGAAGCCAGCCATTTTAAATAAGATCAGTATTTTCTTGATTTTTTTTTAAATAATTTGTTTTCTTTATTTCAAAGTTAAACAGTTCTGTACAGTCTGTTTTATTTGTGGTCAAGTCACTCTGCATAATTTCCTAAGAACCTTCTGTTTTGGGTTGTTGGTTTCAGTCTCACCTAATATACCACTCCTGAATGTTGTATCTCACTGAGTGCTGGGTTAAATGGCATTATGTCATATGACACTTGCATTGAAAACTAAATTATATAATAAGCTTCAAATGTGGTAAATTAATGTTCTATCTTCTCTGCTTGTAAGTCTGTTGCTGTGGGTGAAATTTCCAGCATAGTAGTTGTGTTGCTATGTATGTTAGTCAGTGTCCATCCCACTAGATTGATCATTTCATTATGTAGTTTATTTGAGTGAAATGATTTTCTTCTGAGGAAATATCACTATTTTGTCTTAATACAATTCTGAAAGATTTTCACTTTCAAAACAACTTTAAGATGCCCTCCACATTGAGTTGAAGTTTGTTACATCAATTTATGGTTTGAAATGTTACTTTCAAAATTATCAGTAATTCTTTTCAAAAATATTTTTACTTATTAATTTCAAAAATGGTAATATTTTAACTCTTTCAAAATTTCCAGATTTTTCTAGAGAAATTTCAATATTATTTTCTAATGTTTTAAATCCCAGGTTTAATACTTTGTCTTCTTCATTTTTTATAAGCATTCTCCAAATTTAATGTTTTAGGTTTCTTTTCACTGACATTGGTATGATACAAAATACCCAAACTACTTTTAGTAACATTATTCCAATTATTTCCAGCCATTAAAGCATTCTAAAGTATCTTAACACTAACCAATTCATATTGCATCACCTTTTCATTGTCATCATTAAGTTTTTTTTTATTGATTCATACAATTTCTGCCCTACAACAAGACTTGTTTTAAAATTTCTTTTGATAACTTCTGTATCTACACTTTTCTTAAAATGGTTTTCTGTATATGGAATTAAGTTTTCTTTGTTTTTTTATCCAGGTAGTTATTCTATATAAATCATATTAACTAGGTTTCATTAAGGATAAACATGCTCATATATGTGGAAAAGTATTTCATTTTCAAATTACTTGACATAATTATGATACATATTAGTCATTTTGCTTTTTTTTTCCCTAAGAAATTCATTCCTTCATCATGATATTTGAAGTTTACAATGTTGACAAAAAACTGTAATAGTTTCATGAGTAACCTTCTTATGTTAAATATTCTTCAGATTTTTTCTATCATTCCCACAGTAATTTCTCAGTTCATTAAATTTAAAAGTATTTTCACCTTCAATAATGCATATAAATATATGTAGCTCATTTCTTGTAATTTTTGTTTGCTTGATTCTGTTCTCATTTTACTTTTAGGATACTACTCTTCAAGATGAGTTACATCAAATTAATTTGACCAGTAACAACACATCTCTGACTACGGTGTCAAGTGCTTTCCCTGATTTGAAAATATCAACCATTCAAAGTCATCCAGATGATTTGCTGCTCCGTTACTGTCCTGATAATTTTTTCTGTACTTCTGCTAAGCTTAAGGACTTGTCAGAACCCAATAATATTCATACTTCTCAACCATGTAGTGCAGAGAATGAATTTCTGTATGAACCTTTTTTCAATGACTGTAATACTTGTACACCTAGCATCACAGAACAGGCTACTCAGGACATAAGCAGCATAGAGCAAAAAAGTCCCCAAAACTCAAGTACCATTAAATTCCAAACTGCCCAGTACACAAACACCATCAAGCATCAGATCACTGCCCAGCATTCAAGCACAGGTGAACAACATAATACTCAGAGGACAAACATGGGTGAACAACATAATGCTCAGAGAATAAGTACTGAGAAACAACAAACTGCTCAGCATTCAAGAACAGATGAAGAACATAGTGCTCACAGGACAAACACTGACAAACAACAGACTGCTCAGCATTCATCTATAGGTGAACTACATAGTCCTCAGAGAACAAACACAATAAAAAGACATAATAATACAAGCACTGCTCAAAACACAAATACCATTGAACAAAGTGTCAATAACATGAGTATTGTTGAAAAATCAAATGCCCAGAGTGCAAGCTTTACCAAACATATAACTGGAGAAGATATAAATTTTACAATTTCACATTCTCCTGTTTCCCATTCTGTAGAGCAAGATTTTATAGAAATCAAGGGAATTGATGAAGAAGTGACAAGTGGAAAAGTAGAGAAGTTAAACAATCCAAGATATGTTGTGAGTAGAAAAAAAACAGACCTCAGTTTTAGTGGATCACAAATTTGGCCTAGAATTTCAAGAAATATTGGGAATAGCATGTGTACACCCATTAATCTGGCATGTAGCTCTCTCTTAAATTGTGACAATTCTTTCAAAGATATCTTATCTGATATCAATCAAACGAGAAAACAATCTCAGGACCTACAAAACCAGGTAAGATCTACATGTTTTGTTATTACTGTTTTTTATGTACCAACTTCAAACTTTACACTACATTATAACTTTTGGGTAGTAACATACAACAGAGTATTAAAGATTTTTAGAATTAATAAAAATTATTTGTATCTATACTTTCATTTTGTGAGGTTTTTATAGGGGCCAGATTCTTTACAGTAGGTGTCTGACTTGTTGGCAATAAATTTCAACAATAAACAGACAGCACACAATGCACTTGTTTTAAAATAACATATTCAAAATAGTGAAATGTATGTACAAGAAAATTCTTTACACTACAGGTTATCACAGTTGAATCCAGATCTTTAAATAATTCTCTTTTACATTAAAAGTCTACAAAGGTTGGTTCAGATACTTTAGAACCCAATTGACAAGACAAAATATTCTTCTTTATCTCTGTTATTACAATACAAACTGTCAAACTTTTATTTTAGAAATCACCTGTTATGGTTAAACTGACAATCACGAAGTTTAACTTAATTTTTTTCACTTTTACTTTCACTAACTTACTTATTTCCTCTCTGTATCTGCACATATTTATAACACATGACAGAAAAATCTAGAGATATCTAGACCTCTAGTAACAACAAAATTACACATGTTCTTGTCATCCGTGGTGGTATCCTGTTTCTGGTCAACCACCTCTAGTTTTGACTTTAACTGGTTACTCTTTGACTTGCCAGTTTTACTCCCGCCATGGGCTTCCGTATACTGTTCTGCCAGCTTGATCATCTCGTCCACATCTTTTGGTACATTCTCCTTTAGGAACAGTGACATATCAGTTGATCACATGATCAAGAACTTTTCATGTATTAGTAGATTTGCTTCCGTATACTGTTCTGCCAGCTTGATCATCTCGTCCACATCTTTTGGTGCATTCTCCTTTAGGAACAGTGACATATCAGTTGATCACATGATCAAGAACTTTTCATGTATTAGTAGATCTGCTTCCGTATACTGTTCTGCCAGCTTGATCATCTCGTCCACATCTTTTGGTACATTCTCCTCTAGGAACAGTGACATGTCAGTTGAGCACATGATCAAGAACTTTTCATGTATTAGTGGATCTGCCAGTCCTTCAAAATAATTTTCACACTTAGCCATGTCAGTCCACCTTGTGAAGAACTGTCATAGATGTACTGAAATATTGTTTCTCCAGTGTCAGGATTGACTTCTCTGAACTTCTAATGAAAACCTTCCTCGGTAAGTTCATAGCATTTCAGCAAGGCCACTTTTAACTTGTCATGGTCTATGGCATCTTCTGATGTCACGCCTGCATTCACTTGTAGGCTTTTTCCTGTGAGAAGTGGGCTGAGACAGACTGTCCAGTTGCCTTTGGACAAATATTTCATATCTCTCCAGGAAAGCATCGTATCGTCTTTCTGTTCCTCAAATTTAAGCAGCTTGGATCAACTGGCCTTGACCCCATTGTCATTCTTGGGAGAGACTAGAAATAGAGAGAGAATAAGAGCACAAATTGAGATAGCAAAGCTCACCCTTCCCCTTTCTTAATTTGTGCACTTATTCTCTCTCTCTCTCTTATCCTTTCCCACTCTGTCTCTCTTTCTCTTTCTTCTGTTGTTTCTCTTCTTTCTCTCTAGTTTTTGTTGTTTAACAAACTCTAGTAGATTGCTATTTTTTAGCACAAGTCATTCTCGTCTCTCTATCCATTTATCAAAATCAGTCAACATGGTTATATAGCGTGATTGTAATCTCTGCACTATTTTTGCCACCACTGTGTGCATATATAAGCCTATTTCTGCTGTCATTCATGTCTTCGTTCACTGTCATTTACCACTGTATAATCCTGGCTGGCTTGCCAATGTCAGGATTTTATAGAGGCTGGATTCTTTGCAGTAGGTGTCTGTGACTTGTTGGCGATAAATTTCAACAATAAATGGACAGCACACAATACACTTGTTTTAAAAAAAATATATTCAAAACAATTCAAACATATGTAAAAAAACAAAACAATTCTTGACACTATAGGTTATCACAGTTGAATCTAGAGCCTTAGATAATTCACTTTTTTGTCACAAATCCACACAGGCTGGTTCAGTTACTTTAAAACCCAATTGACAACACGAATTATTTCTTCTCTTCTCTGTTATCACAATACAACCAGTGATTTACCTCCTCTCACATTTCCCACTCTTCCGACATTTCTCCAGTGCTGACATCTTCTGCTAAACTTCAAAGTGATAGTTCGGTAGAGGAGTGTACAGGGAGTTATATGCATCACATGAGCATGTCAAGCTTTTTATGGGTGAGGATGATTTGCATGAGAGACATGTTGGAATCTTGCAATTTCAATAGGGGGAGCAGAAGGCTTGTGGCATGTGGAAAGAAAAAGTGTGCATATAGAGGGCAGCACCGAATGGAAATAGCTAATCTTGTGAGAGGAGGCAAGTACCATATCAGAATAATTCTCTTTTACGTCAAAAGTTCAGAAAGACTGGTTAAATTATCTTGGAAACCAATTGACAAGATGAATTATTGTTCTCTATCTCTGTTGTTACAATACAAACTGTGAAACTTTCACTGACAATCATGCAGTCCAACTTCACTTTTACTAAATTACTTACTTCCTCTTAGTATCTGCACATATTTAAAACATGCAGCAGAATAATCTAGAAATATCTAGTTGTCTAATAACAACAAAATCACAGATAAGGAGAGAAGGTTTGAGTAAAATGACATCAACAATATTACAAAAGCCTAGTATAAAATTTAAACTACTTACACAATGTATGACTAGTTGAAATGTACGTAACAAAACTTGTCAAAACTATCAGTTTTAAAATAATTAACTTTTAACACTCTTGTTATAAAAACTAAATAAACACTAAATCACTAAACTAAATAATAACTCTTAATCTGAACAGTCTTGTATATCCAGCACATTTATTGTTCAATAACCAATGATACAACAGATTATTAAAAACATTAGTGTGATATGTTGTGAAAAGTTTATAGCTCTTATGAAGATTATTTTTTAAACAATGCATATCATAACACTTTGTATATTTTGTCTTGTCCTCACACAAGTTTTGAAGAAGTGTTATGGTTTAAGTTTATTTTTTTATTATTAAACAAAACTAATGAAGAATTAAACACTTATTAATTCTTTCTAATGTTTTCAGATCCTAACACAGCAACATTGTTCTTCATCACCTCTGTCTTTGGCTAGATCATCTAACTTAATAGAACCTTTATATTCTGTTAGTAACAATTTCAAAACATCACCTGAAAATCTGACTTCTGAATGTTGTACCGGAAACGTTGAAGTTCCTTCTTTTGAAACCCGTCCCATATCACCCAACAGTTCATTCTGTGGTTATCAGCTTTTAAGAAATTTATGCAATGGATCCAGTTACCAGCCATCAAGTTCTGAACCCTCTGGAGATGATTATTATATACTTTCTGACACAGTAGAAATGGACACCAAATTTCCTTTAACTTCTCAGTCAATAATAGTGCCAGTACTAAGCAGTAGTCTTAACTCTGTACCAATTCCTTTGAATGATTATAATGTTTTACAGCCATATAAACCTCACACCAGTATCACTTCTTCCAGATTGAGTTTAGGAACATTTTCTGCTCTGGAAAGAGGCACATTAACAGAAAAGTATGTAAATGTTTCAGATACAACTCCAACATTGACTTCTACAGTAACTGGTGAAAAAAGTATAAACCCTACTTCTACAAATATTTATTCTCCTGCAAATGAATCACATGTTCTGTGGGAAAAAATGCCTTCTGATTTTCCTTTTAACTCACTCACATGTAAGATACCACAATCTGATGCACCAGAGTCAAGTGATTATTCTGATATTCTTCCAATTCCAGAGCAGTATGTTACGAGTTTTTCTCCCTTTCCAAATGAGGTAAACTGTATGGAAAAAACTTTATTCGCACAACAGTCAACAATGCTTTCGAAGTCAGACAGTTATCCTTTTCAATGCCTACCTATTTCGGTCAGTAATAACCATTCCAATCTTTCAAAGCCATCAGCAATTGTGAATCCAATTATTCTACCTCTTCATCAGCAACCTCAACCTTTACTTCCTTTAAATAGTCTTCATCAACAGGTTATGACTCGATCTGAGCCAGTGACATCTGTACACACTCCACGTCAACAATTCGTGACTCGATCTCAGCAAGTGCCACCTTTAAATATCCCATATCTACAGGTCATAACTCAGCCTAAGCCACTGATATCTTTAAATACCTCACATCAGCAAACCAAAACCGGACCACAATCCTGTATAAATACAATTCGACAACAAATCACAACCTGTTCTCAAACAACCTCTTCTGTAGATACTCTTGTCGACCAAAAGGTGAAACCCCAACCTCAACCATTATTTTCTGTAAATAGTCTTCAACAACAGGCTATGGTGCAGCCACATGTGGTGCCTACCTTGAATTTACATCAACAGCCAATCATGCTTGTTCCAGAAAAACCCCATCAACCATTGCCAGAAGTATTAGCATCCACAGAAACTCTTGAACTTAGTAACAACAAAGAAGGAAAATCAACAGTTACTTTTGCTCATTCTTCACAACAAAATCTACGAGTAAGTCAGTGAGATTGAGCTCAGTTATTTTTGTCAAATTTAAATCTTAAAAATAATGTGAAAGCATAAAAATATTTTATATTTATCATAAATTATATAAAGCACTTTACTAGTTAAACATAATTGTTAAAAATGTTAAACAACAAATTCAGAAAACATTTTCACTTTCCAGTCTGAAGGCTGAAACTGGTATGTATGGTAACTGTTATCAAAATTTATTTTAAGATATTGTTAAGTATCATAATTTTACTTATGAAAAGCCACATACAACTTGTCTTTTAACACTGCTTGGCAAGACCATGTTGAACTATGATTATGTTTTCTACCATAGGTTTCCTGAAAAACAACAACAAAAAACATGATGTTCAGCAAGATAATGCAAAGCATATGGAAATAATGATTTAAAAACATGGGTATTTGATGTAATGGTGTGTTATTCAACAAAGTGTACAAATAATTTACTATTGGTGTGACAGAATAACCAAGATGCTGTAAAGTTTAAAAACTAAGAAAATTAAGTGTTCATATTCAGTTGAACTGAAAAAGAAAGAAATTAGCTGATAACACAGGAAAATGATTGGATGGCAAACTGATACATTTATCATGTATAATAATTGGAAGAACAATAAGAATAAACTGAATGATATGACATAAATACGTTTTGAAAAGAACCTTGTTATTATGTTACTTTGTAAATTGACTTCAATTTTTGCTTAATTTGCCATTAGTAGATATTACTGGGATATAAAACAAAAATAGATTGTAATGTTTGATATTCCAATAAATCCAAATATACCTTTTGTACAGTTTGTAATAATATTCTACAGTGAAGTTTAAAATAGTGTTGTGACGTTGTTCTTTAGTTGACAGGTTCTTTTAAGTTATCTGGTGAAAATATTTCAATGTCTAGTGCAAGAAGTGATAATAATTTATTTTATATTCTCCTTTAACGTTTCTATAAACTTGAAGGCTTGCACACTTCCATAAAGTGCTGTAAGCCTATGTTACAAATCACTTTAACTAACATAATACTTGTTAATCAATTCACATGTTCAAAGTAACCACAGTTACCAACACTGACTGGCTCACCTTCTATTTTGAAATAATCATATATCTTTCATTGTCTTTCAACTAATCTAACGTCACTTTATGAAACGTAGTATTTATAATCTACTTTCTACACCTTCGACTACCAAATTACAATATTTAAAATATAGTTTACAACAATAGGTTATGAAAATTTAAGAAATTAATAATATTTTCATAAAAGTAGAGGAATTAATTAAAATATTGACAAGTTGTATGTAAAATAAATATGAATTGCATTAAGAAAACAAAATTGGATTTTACTTTACAATTTTTGTATCCTGTGAAAATTCATGTAGAAGGAAATTAGAAATCAAACATTATGCATTATCAAAGGTTATTATATTATATATGTAAAATAGAAGCACGTATACCTTTCTCCATCCGTTAGCTCAGCGGCAAATCTCGGAGCTTTTTACACTGAATATTTGATTTTAATACTTGTGGTGTGCAGAACACAGATAAGCCACTGTGTGTGCTTAACAACGTACAAATAAACCTATCTGCAAAAATATTGCTACTGAAAGGTCATGAAGATTTTAATGTAGATAGTCCAATCCTAATATGCATTCATCTTCAATGTCAGCCAAGTATACTTC